ATGGATGCTCAGTTGAGGAGACAGTGGAGGCTTAACTAAGTCAAATGCTGCTGGTGGGTGGTGGTACTAAACAAACAGTGGCAGAGGACGTAGGTGAAGCTAAGCAGGGCACTGCTCTGAGTTTCCCTGACATAGTGGTGGAGAAGCATACATTGTCACTCGGTAGAGCCATAGGGGTGGTGCGTGGGGGCAGCAGGCGGGGGCTGGCAACTCATTGCCAGGGGCTCGAGAATGGAATGGAACGGAAAGAACAGAATAAAAATGAGGGGACAGGCGACAGCCCAGTGGCCGATGAAGAGAATTATGGAGAAAAAGAGGAAAAGATGACAGGATAAAAGACGGCAGCCCAGCGCCTGAAAAAAAGGACAGTGGACATCTTGGTGTCTGTTGAATGAGAAAAGGAAGGAACAGAAGAAGAACAAATGTGGAAGCTGCCTGTGGCTTTATTCAGGAGGCTGTGGAGGTCTTGGTGGAAGGAGCACACTGAACCTTTAAACCTTTAACAGTGATGCAGAGGCAGTCACCGTTGACTAGAGGTGTGATGTCTATAGAAAAGATAGAGGATAGAGGTAGGCAGCCCAGAGACCAAGAAGAAATGATGGTGGATGTCTTGGTGCCCAGTGAACGAAAAGAAGACTTAACTTAGTTTGGGAGGCTTTGAAGGTTTTGATGGAAGGAGGACACTGAACTGAGGAACTTGCAACAGTGCTACAGAGGTAGATGCCATTGACTGGAGGAATGACATCCATGTGAACGTGACAGTGGGATCCTGTATGGTGGATTGGTTTTGGTAGTATGTAGGAGGAATTTAGGTAACTAGTTAAGAAGCACTGCTTTAGAGTCTGACCTGCAGAACAGCGTGTTTTGTTCCTCTGTCCTCCGAATTGGAGCAAATTAATAAAGAGAGTGACAACATCTCCCTGACTCTATAAGAACACCCCACCCCCACCCACTTATAAATTATTTCTTCGTCTAAGTGGAAGGGAAAGGGAGCAGCTAGTGGTTATACTACAAGGGTGCCCGTTTTTAACCTGGATATGAGAGCAAGAGGTTGGATGTCTGAATGATTTCCTCAGGCGAGGTTTGGACAGAGTAGAAGAGGAAACAGCTGGAATAGATCAGCTTTGTTAGGTAACCTGCAAAATAGAATATGATGCTTCTTTAGACCTGCTACAGTCAGGTCAGAGAGTAACTCTGAAGGCCTTAATGAAAACAAGTGTGAAAGTGCAAAAGCATGGGTATGGGAAAATGACATTTGTTACTGGAGAAATCCCCTGGAAAGGATAGCAATGGCACCGGGATGATCTCTGTTGTGACGAACAATGAGGACTGTGGTGGGAGAAGGCCTCTAAGACTGGAGAAGAGATGGAGAAGTACCGGAGGCTGCTGCAGTCTGTTGCTCAAAATGCTGCACAGTCTGCCAGGCACCATGGATGCTGGAGCAGGGGTAGCGGTGTTACCTTTGAGAAAGCTGAAGTCTGAGACAATCCTGTGATGGAGAAAAAAACAACTCATTATCGGATAAGGAAACGAACAGACAATGGTGAGTAGCCACACATATGTAATTTGATCTGTCCTACAAAAAGCAAAAGTGGAAGTGAATCTTTCTTGATGGTTTAAATGATTGGGAGAGGAAGGGGTGTGAGCTTTGGGTGTGCCCTGTTCCTGAACTTCAGATAGAAAATCTCCAATTAAAATGAGCAATTAAATTGTTTGATGTTCTTGCCCTTCAGCTTTCCAAAGATCTGGTCTGTGTTCTGGTTCTCAGACTTGATATTTTTGCCAAGTATTTTGTTTCAACTCAGTGATGTGATTAAATTGCTGAGTGGACTGAGCAAAAAATAAATCTTGTTCCAGTTAT